TCCCTCTCTCTCTCTCTCTCTCTCTCTCTCTCTCCCTCTCTCTCTCTTCCTTCATTCTTGTATCCTCTTTCTCTCCAGTTCTGGGTGACGATTGTAAGTTCGAACTTTAGAAGCTTTTCGTCATGTGAGCACAGAATTCTGAAATAGAGACAAAGCAATCCATCATTCTATCATTCTATGATCAATTCCTACCTGTTGTTGAAAGATGCATCTGGTGTGATATGTACTCAAATTGTTTTGTTGTTTTAGTAGAGGTCTTACGGCGCTCGCAACTGCAAAGGTCATATGAGCGCCAGAAGATTAAAGATGTTACAAGAGAGTAACAAACATAAAAAAGAAAGAGGGGAAATAAGGACGATAGATGTTTGATAGGAAAGAAGAAGCAAACCACATCAGAGCACCCGCCAACAACCCACATGCGCACAGTTGTCAGCTTCATTTGATATTGAATTTTGTTGGGAGTAAAATATAATATTATTTTTTATGTATACCCTCATGTGTTAAAGGGGCTCCTGTAAAGCAAGGAAAAATTATCCCTGTGTCAATAAAGTATTATCTTATCTTATTTTTACTTGTCTATCTATCTATCTATCTATCTATCTATCTATCTATCTATCTATCTATCTATCTATCTATCTATCTATCTATCTGTCTATTTATCTGCCTTTTTGTCTGTCTGTCTGTCTGTCTGTCTGTCTGTCTGTCTGTCTATCTATCTATCTATCTGTCTGTCTATCTATCTATCTATTTATCAGCTGTGAATTCAATGGACTGTTTTTTCGAACCAAACTGTGTTACTCGTGCCTGAATATTATAATTTATCAAAACCAGTATTGGTCTCATTTCTTCTGTTTCGCTTGAGAAAGATTCTCATTTGCACACATTGATGGACGAACTAGTATTATCATAATCGATACTAAGATTATAGTATAGGTGTAAGGAAGCGTTCGAAATAAGCGCTCAAATCAATTGCAAGCCGATGTTGATTTTAATCTAAACAGCGCTTGAACCAAATTACATTATGTCCCTAGGATGTGTTCATTTCAGCACTTCAATACCAAGGTAACAAAAACAATTAAAAATGCAGTAATGTCGTGTTGGATATTGAACAACGACTATTTTAAGACATTTTTGCATGCACTTTTCAATCTGAAACTCTGAAACCGTGCCTAATGACGGAAACCTTCTCTAAAGTTAGCATCGAGATTCGTTTCATTTCTTTTTAAAATCTGTTTTTTCTAATCTGGTGTGTTTTCTTTCACGCATTTCCCAACGATCTTGCTCTGATTACTTTCATCTCACGCTTCGATCTATAGATTTTGTTACACTGATTCTTCGTGAATAATCGATAGAAGTTGTTCACACTTCGTGCTGTGAGAGGAAGAGGAGAGAGAGAGAAAGAGATAGATAAATAGATAGATAGATAGAGAGAGAGAGAGAGAGAGAGAGAGAGAGAGAGGGGGATAGAG